CATTATTGAAAACCGTGTGAAAGCATTAACATCAGCTCTCACCACTCAATAATGAAGTCGGTTGGGTTGTTAGACGTGAGGCAACGGAGGGTAGATTCCAGTTGCTGGTTCATCCTTTCTGTTTGACCATTGGATTGTGGATGATAACCAGATGTCAGAGATGTCTTACAGCCCAGAGCTGCGCAGAATGCCTTCCAAACTTGTGATATGAACTGAGGGCCACGATCAGAGAGGATCTCCTGGGGAATGCCGTGTAACCGGAAAACGTGTTTCACTAGAAGTTGAGCTGTCTGGAAGGCCGAGGGAAGCTTCCTGAGAGGGATGAGATGACACGATTTGGAAAAACGATCAACGATGGTGAAGATGGTGGACATACCTCGAGAGACAGGGAGGCCGGTGACGAAGTCGATGGCAATATGGGACCATGGACGAGAAGGAATCGGAAGAGGCTGTAGCAGACCCGAGGGGGGCTGGTGTGAGGCCTTGTTTCTGGCACAAGTGGGGCAGGCCAACACATATTCTTTTACATCTCTGTGAAGCGTAGGCCACCAGAAGCGTCTTGAAATCAGAGCAATAGTTCTACTGACTCCCGGATGGACAGAAAATTTGGCAGCATGCATCCATTGTATTAATCGGGACCTGACGGAAGATGGAACATAGGTTCTGTTAGCTGGACCGTTACCTGGGTCGGGTTCCGTGGCCAGGGCGGAGTTAATGAGATCGGAAATCTCCCAATTAACAACTCCGACTGTGCATGATGCCGGAAGGACAGGCTCTGGTGTCTCGGGTTGATCGACGGAGTAAAGACGAGAAAGGGAGTCAAGCTTCACATTCTTGGATCCGTGTCTGTAGGAGATAATGAGATTAAACCTTGAGAAGAATATGGACCACCTGGATTGACGAGGGTTGGCCTGTTTGGCTGACTGGATGTAAGCAAGGTTCTTGTGATCTGTCCAAACTAGAACCGGGTGCTCAGCTCCCTCCAGCCAATGTCTCCATTCCTCCAGCGCCAACTTGATGGCCAACAGCTCACGATCTCCAACGTCGTAGTTCTGCTCTGCTGAAGAAAGTCTACGAGAGAAAAAGCCGCATGGATGGATCTTTTGGTCAGAATCGAGTCTTTGAGACAAGACTGCTCCAACGCCAGAATCTGAAGCGTCTACTTCAAGATGAACTGCTTGGAAGGGTCTGGCTGAATTAACACAGGTGCTCTGGAAAACAAAGATTTCAGTTTCTCAAATGCAGTCTGAGCTTCAGGGGACCAATGAAAAGTTCGTTTAACTGAAGTCAGTGAGGTTAAAGGGAGGGCTGTTTGGCTATAGTTCCTTATGAAGCGGCGGTAAAAATTGGCGAACCCCAAAAATCTCTGTAGCTGCTTGCGATTTTCAGGAACTGGCCATTCCAAAACAGCCTTAATCTTGTCTTCAGAAGGCTTAAGCTGCCCACCCTCGAGCACAAACCCCAAAAAGGTAACTGAGGGTTGATGAAACTCACACTTTTCTGCCTTGACGAATAACTTGTTCTCCAGTAGCCTCTGTAACACCAGGCGGACATGTTTCTTATGATCAGACAGGTTCCTTGAATAAATGAGTATGTCGTCAATATAGGCGAACACAAACACATTTAAAAAGTCTCTGAGAACGTCGTTCACGAGGGCTTGGAAACAGGCAGGGGCGTTAGTTAAACCAAAAGGCATAACCAAATACTCGAACTGACCTAATGGGGTTTTGAAAGCACACTTCCACTCATCTCCTTCTCTGATCCTAAGATGATATGCGTTCCTTAAATCCAATTTGGTGAAGACTGTTGCCCCTTGAACAGGTTCAAACGCTGAGGCGAGAAGAGGTAGAGGGTACTTGTTCTTAATTGTAATTTGGTTCAAACCTCTGTAGTCGATACATGGCGTAAGAGAACCGTCCTTTTTGCCCACAAAAAAGAATCCTGCACCCAGAGGAGAGGAGGACGGGCGAATAATCCCAGCAGCTAAAGACTCGTTAATGTATTTCTCCATAGTTTCTCATTCGGGTTTGGAGATGTTGTATAAACGACTGCTGGGTAATGGCGCTCCAGGTAGCAACTCGATAGCGCAGTCATATGGTCTGTGTGGAGGAAGGGACGTAGCACTGACCTTACTGAAGACGGGAGCCAAGTCATGGTACTCTGAGGGAACTGAAGAAAGGTCAGGAGAATCCATCTCCCCCCCTCCCCTAGGAGACCCCACCAAGGGGGCTGCCGAACGAAGGCATGTCTCATGGCATGACGTAGACCATGACTCCACGTGACGATCAGTCCAGTTGATACGTGGATTATGTTTCTCCAACCATTCAAATCCAAGCACGAGAGGGGAGCATGCGGAGGGAAAAACAAAAAATGTAATTGTCTCACGGTGGTTACCTGAAAGTAGCAGCTTGAGGGGTTCAGTTTGATGGGTAACTTGGTGAAGTTTCTTCCCATCTATGGCTGCGACACGGAGAGGTTGAGTCAGGGGAATGGTTTCAATTTTCAGTTGTTGGACGAGATTTGAATCAATCAGGTTCCGTTCACAGCCTGAATCGATGATTGCAGAGAAAGAGAGGTTTTGGTTAGCGAAAAACAGAGTGGCTGGAAGCATCAGTCGAGGAGATTTCTTAGAATTAGTTTGGCCCGTCATGCTCCTCAGATCCTCTGACGGGCCTAGGCTTTTGACTTAGCCGGGCAGGAGGCGATGAAGTGTCCACTCTCGCCACAATAAATGCAGAGTTTACTCAAAAAGCGTCTTTGTCTTTCTTCTGGAGTTAGCCTAGTGTGTCCAACCTGCATGGGTTCGACCTCCATTTCACCAGAATGAGACGCCTGAACAGGCAGAGGGAGAGACTGGGTCTTAGATCTCAACTTAGGCAACTGTTCTGTGGGAGGAGAAAAAACAGTCACGTTATTAGAAGCAGGAGCAACGGAAAGAGATCCTAGGTTTCTTGGCTTGGAACTATTTCTGGCTCGGATTCGGTTGTCCAATCTTATTGTTAACTTGATTAATTCATCGAGGGTAGCAGGTTCATCGAGGGTTGCAAGTTCGTCCTTAATATTCTCATTTAAGGCCATAAAATAAGCCCCTTTCAGAGCACTTTGGTTCCATCTGGAAGCTGCTGCTTTAACCCGTAAGTTGATGGAGAAATCAGCCACAGAAGAATTTCCTTGCTTGATACTGAAAAGAGCACGAGAGTCAATAGTTTGATCAGATTCCTGGTTAAAAACCTGGGAGAATTCGGAAATAAAATCAGAATATCGACAGTTGAGGCTTTCATCGGTGGAAAATCTGGCCTGAGCCCACTCCAAGGCTCTTCCTGTTAATTGAGAAAGAATAAACGTTATTCGTTTATAATCCGTGGGAAAACTATTGGGAGCATTTTGAAAAATTAGCCGGCTTTGAAATGAAAATCCTTTGCAATCCTTCATATTACCGGAGAATCTTTCAGGAAGGTTAGGGCGGAACTCTGATGACGTCACTGCTGGTGACCTCGGAGGGGGAACAGGACCCGGAGATGGTTGCGCTGCTGGCGTGGCATTAGCATTGCTCACATAATTTGCGTAGCTCTGAAGCATATGATTGTGAGTGTCTACCAGGCGATATAA